CATGCACGTCCTGCCCGAGTTCAACCCACTGTCTTGCCGTCCGCCAAGAATGTCTCTGTATTCCTTACACTCACGTCGACAATTAACCCTTAACTTTGATAGATCCCTTTTGCTCACTTTCATGAAGGTTGACTGTTATTCAAATTGTTTTCGCTGGCTGACGTCTCATTATTTTATTGGGTTTAGTTACTTAGCTCTGGAGTGATTCGAACCCTATCATAGAGGTCAACAACACTTTCAAGGGGATTCTACCGCTGAACTTTTCACATTTGGACCACCTATCCAACTTATAGGGACATATGTTACCCATCAGATAACAGCTAAGTTGATCACCCTGGGAGGTTTTCCTTAGCTCAGCTGTCAGTGTACGTTATTCAAACCAGAAGACGGTGTTTCTTACGCACGTTTGAATCCCCAATTCAAATAGAAGATAACAGGCTGCTGAACGACAATTTAAACAAGTAGTTCAGCCTTAGAAGTCCATTCGGTGGATTTTGGGGGATTCGAAGGACAACTTGTCAGTTCGCATGTTATCTGATACTTTCTACCCCTCCCACCCGTGTGACTTGGATGGATGATATTAGTTCGGAAACTCTCTGGTCAGAAAGAACACGGGTTACAATACTGCTACAGTCTTTTTGTTAGTTTACGGAATAAAGTTAAAAGGCTAACATAAAGGGATTAAGCACATAAGCCTATTTTCAATGCTTCATCAACTGACTTAATGCAATACATTTTATAGTAAACCACACATGGAGTTTTAGGAAAGTTATGACTAGAAAAGTGCGAGGACTGAATATATAATGAGGTGATGTACCTACAATAATTTCTTGCTTTTCTTTTCATTTTACTTCTTTCAGGAATGGGGAAGTAGCCAAGCAAAGGGGTGACATTCAAAACACGTAGTGGGGAAAGTTAGGCGGTGGTGGTGGGATTCGAACACAAACCCGAGGTGACTTTTTGGTGACGTTATTACCATCGAGCCACCCCCACTTGTATGCGGGTGCACATGAGCGAACGTCACCAAGTTTAGGGTGAACAGCCATATTCTCTTGACACCCTTCATACTTTACGCCATATTCGATCCCGCGTTATCATCATTAGGAATTTTCCTGTCCAGAATTTGGTGCGCCTTTCAACAAAACAGCAGCGGTTTGTCAAAGAAATTCCGTTCGGGTCTTGGTTGTGCAGCTGACGTACTGTAGTATCACTTATTTCTTATAATTTCCCGTATGAATAGCATCATTCTTTTCCTGTTCACGGTGATAAGTATTACGCTTACAAATATCATGAAATATGATTTTGAAAAATTGAGTGATTCAAAATTGTTCCATTTTTTTCGTTTTCTAACATGATGGAAAATTAAAGAAACCTCAGTTACTTTTTATTAACAACCGAAAAATGGCACGAGGGATTCATCATTTTTACACCATAAAAGGGTCTCGTCATTCGATTTTTGTTGAGCAGCATAAATGTGTATCCGGGGGAAGGGTTGCTAGATAGAATCTTCTTTAGGACTACAAAACTTCATCTTACGGGCAAAATCAAGTTGTCCGACAGCTATTGGAAAACCTATTGCATTGATCATTGACACGACCCCGCCCCCCAGGATGTTCTATGAGAATTATCAATGCACAGCAAGTGTTCTTAACACCCTTTGTGAATTGGTAGTATTTGGAAAAGTATGAATTTAGTGATTGCCTTAGTTTATTATTATTATTATCTTTATTATTTTGTTATTGGTTTCATTTTATCGAATGGAAAACCATACAGTAGGGTTTGTAGTTGAGGCCCATGAAGCATAACTTTCTTGGGGTGGAGCTTGAAGAAGTAGTGAAATCAGGCTCTGGTTTACCATTGCACGACCGCTTGGTTCATGTAGTGGTAGTCTATATCGTTTTAATGCCACGAAGTCACGTGTTTCAATCAACCAATCATCATTCAGTTCTGTTAGTCTATACGAAAACTACCAGTAGTAAGATGCGTATTTCTCCTTCTGAGAACGCTTACATCAAATACGGTAGATCCACGTGTCTGCAGTTTGCGGTAAAATATCATAAACAACTGTGAATCCAGCCTCTGTAGCCAATGAATAAACTATAATGCTTAATGGTAAGGCGCTTTCACGCGTATCAGCATATTATAATAGATAGTCATGTTAATCTACATCGTCTATTTTCCAATCATCACTTTTTCACCTCCAATTCGAACAGTGTTCGTTTTCTATGTAATGTTAAAATCATTTTCGTAAAGTCTCACTTTCGTGAGGTCATTAAGATGAGAACTCAGCATATCTTTAAATACTGCTACATCTCTAGAATCAGGACTTTCATTATTACAACCTATCCTCGAGAAATGGCCAGAATTCGTCAACTGCCTACATTCACCAACATGTTACATTTTAACACTATGTGTCTTCTATAAACATTTCCGCCGGTGAACATTGCAATTCCGATTCACTAGATCCATTATTTGTAAAGAGGCTCAAAAACTCCGGTACGTGAAAGCCGAAATTGGGAACTATGCATGGCTACCCGCATTGAGGTAGATTTTTCTTTCGAGAAAAAAGTGGATTATAAGATACCTAAATTGGCTTCCGGCTGTCATCTGGATCCTAAATTCAATGCACTGACAGTAGCAGATCACACTGCTCGGTTCGTACAGCACTAGTGATCGCCTTCTCAAGTCCCATTCTGACGGGGTTTTTACAATTTTGTTTACTTACTCAAAAGGTGAAACCCACCTTCTCTGAAATAATAAAGAATAAAAAGATGAGAGTTTTGTGTGGTGCTTTAACTTTGATTATATACAATAAGAAAGGTCCTATGGGTTCGTACGAAACAGTCGAAGTATCCTCTGCCTACGCATTAAAGATTCACTGATACGTATGGGGTTTACAATCCTGATGGCTTTTTTCTTCCAGTTGTAGCTGTCTGAGGCCCGGGGAGGAGAATATGACTCACAATGAGGTCATGCCATACACAAGGAGCGCCAGTGTTTCCTGGACAGGCGTTGTCTGCTCTAATTCACTTATCATCGCGGCATTTGTTTCCGTGATCTTTCAGACATGACAGCTTCCATCCGCAGTTTACCATCTTCGTTGGTTGGTTGGTTCATCAAAATGCACACTGCAGTAAACCTGGCAACTAGACCAACTAGACTAATACGAGAAGTTTACACATGCATACACACACAACAAAATATATTTGTGGAGGTTCTATGCGACAACAGAGAGGAGAAAATAAGTTGAAATGTCCAGACAAAAGTGAAAAAGGTCTCCGAGACCACCTGTGATGTGCCTTGCACACATCAAAGCACAGTTGTTCGTGGAATCCACACACACACACGTGCATATTTGTTGTTAACTTTATCCTGACCCCTCCTCATCAGCAGCCTATCATCTCTGCTTTACTCCACCCGCGTAGAGTACGGGTGACGTGAATTGTCATTTCCGTCGCCAAATTTTGTCCATGTCGATGTATCAGTTCGTTTTCGGGGGTGAAAGAAAAGTCAAACTGTATTTCAGTCATCGTCTCCGGCTCTCGTTGTGCGACGCATATTTTGACAATCTTGCATTCCCCCATATGAAGCTGGTTTTGGGTTCGATGGACCCAGAGGACAAATCAGCTTAAGAAGCGAGCATACACTGCGCGGGCATTAAGGTTGAAGGCGTGCGCACACACAAGCACGAATGTTTGAAAGCAACCGGTCATGCAAATGATGCAGCCAGAAAGACCACCTATTGCACCCAACGGTGCAAAAAACAAACATTTGTTCTTCTTCGCTTCTCCGCTTGGTTATGGGTTTATTTTATTCTTCATTGTGGGCGTAGTGTAGAGTTAACTGACCCGTCGTAAATGCCTTATCCGGCACTGTGTCCTACGCATTGGAAAATGGAAACGGAATGACGAATCTTATGGTGATCTCGTGCCATTTCACACGCAACCACACACACATGGTCTCTTTTTATTCCTACAATTTCCATGGATAATTTAACTAACTAGAAACTCTTGCCCGCTAATAGAGCCCGGTTTATGGGGTGCTTGAAGCATTGGTCCACCGACATCAGTCATTCTGTCCATCTTCAATGCCCGGTGCGGCAATTGGCGCGCACTCGATGGGGTGAGATACGGGGTCGTTTGATCGGACACCTATCATCGACCAATCACAGTCCATCCGGAACTTGATGGCGTGTCCGCAACTGCCATTTAATTTACTTATTTCTTTCAATTGTCTTTTTTCTTTCAGTACACACGGGGAGGAGGCGGAGGGGACTCGAGTAAATGCACGCGTGCATGCATGTATGGGTGCGTTCGAGAGTCCGTAGAGGAGGTGGTCAAATCAGAGGACAGATTTTCTCTGCGGGGTGAGGGACTAGTTGCGCTATCCTGTCTCTCCTCAAGCTACGGGGTGGGGGAGATCAGTAAGAGTAATGGTATTTGGTGGTGGTGTTATCGGTGATGGGGACGTGGTGGTGACGGCACAATCAAGCCGCGAGGGCGGCGACAGGAACGGCGACGGTAACGGGAGTGGTGCGTGACTTGGAGTTCGCGCGCGCGTGTGTGTGCGTGCGTCGGCGGCCGCATATACACATGCACTTTCATATACATATATGCATTCGCGCACACATACACACGCTTGCGGCTAATCTCAGCGTCGCGTGCAATCCAAGCAACGCGAACAGCCAGTGACAGACAGACAGACGCACACTGACTCTACATGCGCGGCCTACTGTGTCCTCTACGGTCAGGCAAACTGAAGTCAAATTCATGTCTGGTTTGTCTACTGTTACTGTTTTCTCTACAGTCACCATTGCCAGGTCAAACGGCGCCAGGCATAGTAAATTTGGCGACATGAAGCTGGCGCCATCGTGTAACAGTAGTGGCAGTAGTAGTAGTGGCAGTAGCAGCATTCGCACAAGCAGCACCAGCAACAACGACAACATCAGGCACCTATTGGCTTGTGATGGCGACCTTGTGAAAACGTTTGAACCAGAAGTTATGCGACTACCACCACTAATACTAATATTACCAAGACACTGTTCGGATAATTTCAAATTGAGTTTGACGCCGTCAATACTAACCTTCATTCTTCAATCGACAGACGGCGACAATCGGACCTGGGGCGTGCCGGGCCACGAGCACATTCACTATCCAACGGATCCTCGATCGACTCTCACCGAATTGGGACCGGTGACGTCGGTTCAGCGGCGCCGAGTGTGGCAGCCGGTTGTTGATATTGTTTTCATTGTTGTTGTTGTCGATAACGTTATCCTCTACGGCTCCGCCTTGATTGAACTAACAAGGCTGACTGGAACAAATCGATGGACAATCAGTTTGGCGACTGGGCCGGACCATAAGGGAGATTTGATTATATTCATCGCTTATGGATGGCACGTGTCCCGATACAAGTCGCCAAATGTTTTTCTGAGACCAGAGGCGTCTTTGAATTCCAAGCAAATCCATACGGATTGCATTGTTTTGTGTCCTGTTCCCGTCGCCAATCAGTCTGCAACAAATCCAACGAGCAGTGAGAACATTCCCATCATTACCACCAACTCCACTGCTACTAATAATATCACTAAGACCACCCCCGCAGGCAGTATCACATCCACAATCACTAAAATTACCGAAAACCCCCTGCCCAAACGGTATTCGGAACGAACTGACATCACACCTACTCAGTTTTCCTACTGGACAAATACGCTTGACAAATGCCTATCTCAGCCGTTTCCGTTTCAGACGGCCACAAGAAGATGCTGCTCTTTGTTTCGCTGGCCATACAGCCCCCGTTCTTTCCGTTGCATTGTGCCCTTCATATTCTATGTTTGTTGTTTGTTGATGCTTTGCACCAACGCGTATCGAGTGGAAACACATGTCACACCGAAACACATATCGGGATCACCTGAACCTAAACGTTTTGGAAATGCACCAGATAAGACTCAATTACGTGCTCGTACACCAAACTATCTATTCCGGTTGCATGATCGTCACATGCGTCATTGGTGGGATTTTGATCAGTTTGAAGCGGATCGTCTACGACATCCCGTTCATCGGAGCCGTACTAGTGACATGAACATAGAGAAATGGAATGATGCCAGTCTAGGTGTGATCACGGCTGTACGGCATCATCAACACATAGGTGAGTTTTGGTTTTTACTGTCGCTTCAAGCGGACTCAAAGCGAATTTTTGGTTTGGGGTCAATGTACTGTGTCACTTCAAACCACTTACCCAGTGGTACCGGTTTCCCGAGGGTTCACTGTTTCTCAAATCATTTGACCTATCTTTGCGAAGTTTCCTTTCTTTTGCGTGCTTTTGATAATGTTTTTTACAAATATGTGACGAACAGGGAATGAATACGTCTACTCAATTGATCGATGGTTGCATGAACGTTATTAGTACGTGCCACTCATACTAGGTCAAGTTTGTTCCTTATCGGGATCACTGATTGTGCACCACTGATTGTGATACCATTTAGGGAAGCCACGTAGTGCTTCAGATGCTATTACGTTTTATTTCTGAGCTCGTATACTAAAATGAGTTTATTTTGTATGAATCATTTTTATCACGTCTCACTGCTGGATACAACAAGTTGTGTCCAAAATCGCCGGGGGCAGGTAAATAGTAGCTTATGGACGGTAGTGTGTTAGTATCACTCCAACTATTGCATTGATCTTAGTTTCACCCAAAGAGGATTTTTTCCGGTTAAAAACCCGATTGAAGTATGAATGACGTCCCACGTGCGATTTCATCATCCACAATGCGAAATGACATGAAGTAACACTGTCTGCATGAAATCCTGCACTCGGGAATTATGCAATGCTCGTATGAATGGAAATTTGGAATGGATTTACCACTACAGGCGTGTGAATGAAAAAGAAACTACTTTTCGTTGTGCCAACACTGGAAGAGAGGAGTAACTGGACTGAAGTAATCTGGCTTCTTGGCAGTTTGCTTGAATTTCAGGTTTTTGCCAGTTTGCCGAGTTTTGTACGCATTTTTCCTAAACACTAATTATTGAAAAATCATGAGAAGCTCACATGCAAATGGACGGTATAAAGCTGGAACTGACCGCTCTCGGGTGAAACTGTAAAAGTATCTGGGAGCACTAACTTTCTTTATATCCCGTACTGTTTTTTGTCGATTTTCGCTCTGCTTTGCTTTGTATCAAATCAGTTCCAGTAAGTACCAAAGAGTGCGTAATCAGAAATCAAGGCAACAACAATAGCAACTATACAATAATAATATTAATGATACCAATAACAATAATGAAAACAAAGACCATATAATAAGCACAGATTAAGAGTTAGAAATAAAGACGTTAGAATACGAATAAGTTAACTTGTAATGTATTCCGTATTCCACTCTGTCTGTTCACCAACATGGTAATTTTGTTTGCAAACGTTTCATCACTAGTCGAGGTAACATCATCAGTGCTTGTGAAGTATTATCGTATTGTCGAAGAATCTGACTAAGGAAGAAATACATAAATATCAAAATAGGCTGGTGCACGTCCAGCGATTCACCTGGACAGATGAAAGGGAAGAGATCGAATCATATCTCCTGGTCATCATGAAGCGAATAACACGTATGATTTCAGATTTTCTGGGAAGAGCCCGCAGCTTTTGCTTGAATGATCAAAGTGAGTACAAAGACAATGACAAGTTTGGATCAGTCCTTTCGGTTGCATCGTGTAGCTCAACTGGTAAAACAAGCACTGTAAAAACGTGTGGGTGATATCCATGCATGGATTCAAATCCCACTAAGGCTACTGATTTTTCCACAGAACACACTAATCTGTCAAAACACACAATGAAAAATGTAAAAGCTCCGGCGATGTTTGTGTGCACTAGCCTCTCCATAATTTCCAGTCCATCCTATTTAGTATATTTCGGTGCATAAACAAAAGGAAGGATACTATTCCTATCACTACCCGCAACGAATAGCCGTACATGTCGTTCTGATTTTCTAATTGTATTTGCATTTCTTTTGATTCTTACCCAGTAAAGACAGAGTTTGATGTGAGTCAGCAGTGAGACGAATATTGCTGTTTACTTTCCGTGTACCACTATTTCTTGGGATACTGAGAGTATTTAGGGATTTGGTGATTAATTTTATATTCCGCCTGTGTCATCTTAAGTACAATGGTGCTATTCCCTTTCTTCTCCCTGTTTCCAACCCATACAAATTTAAAAGTTGCACGAAAAAGCCACTTTTTCTGTGGTTTCCTTCTTATTCTTGTAAAATGCTTCAAGCCACCTCTTGCCCTAAACTGATTATGTTTCCATTTGGTAATATGCGACCAAGAGTAAAATCAATGAGCAGGCTGAATCATATGATTTTGTTTCGTTTTACTATTAAATTCCATCTCGGTTGACCCTTAATGACTCGGAATATTGCTAGCAAGAATTTTCCTTTGCGCTCGGATCAGTTAGTGTCCACGACTTCCGTTTAGCAGTCAACTATCTTCGATTCCTTTACTGCTTTCCAATGATAATCCCTAGTCAGGTGAACGCTGTTTTTTGTTGTTAATTTTCTGTGTTTGCCTATCTGTTCTAAGAAACAATATCTGTGCCGGAAATGTTGATAATGGCTGGTGGAGAAAGTTGTCTGATTGTACTCACCAACACAAATCGACTTGTCTACAGGTAAACCCATTCCTATAGAAACGCCAACTTCCGACTTATTCATCTCGCATATCTGTCAAAACGCCTTACAGGATTTCTACAATTTCTGTAGTAGTTAATCCTCATTATTGTGAACAGAGGGCATGTTACATTTTTTTGCTAGCACCACTAAGCAGGTTTCAAACTGAAAGCTTGTGTATAGTCTGGTAACGTTGAACAAAGTAAGCAAATTTGATAGGCGTGCTACTACTGGTACTACTAATTATAAATACTGAAAATTTTCAACCCCTCAGATATTAAATGTATCGGTGTAGAACCAAATCTCTGGAAAGTGATTACAGCCTATCGAAACCCAACCTGGGAAACGCAGAGATGAGAAAAGAGGATTGACAGTGGTAGTGATATTTAAACACAAGACCCCCAAGTCACTGTTCTGATGGTGACCTCAACCACTTGACTGTAACTGAACTAGGAAGGGAAGATTTATTCACAAAATTTCAAAAGAAACAGCTCCTTTAGTGTCAGTAGTCGACTATTGCGGGATTATGGGACGAAACGGATAATTTGACTGACAAATTCCAATGGATTCAGCAAGAGACCTACCAATCCAAGTGAGATATATGAAATTCCAAAAAGACGCATCACTCGTTTTACACCCCGAACTACACAAAAACAACTTTACATCGACCTCAGTCACGTGCTATGGTGATCAATAGACCTCCCTGATTGGCAGGGGTGAAAACCTGGTGCGACATTTCATTTCAACAAGGTGAATGCTTTCAAGTACAATTAATACACATGATGCAAACAGTGCAAATGGATAAAGACCATGAACTCGAAATTTTTTTGATAATGACAAACCGTTGTCATTGATAACCTCAAAATAATTGGGATATACAACCATCTTTATGAATTTATGATGCTGATTCATCATATGAATAAGTTTTAAAAGAATCATCAAAATCACGTGTAGTGAATAATGGAGCGCACACCTAAATAGTAGTAGGCAATAAAGGATGCGCACCTTTATCGGAACATAACTGATGATTGTCGATCTAAAGTTCTTTGTTTTAGCTTACATATGACAAATCACAAGTTTAGGTGTAAGAAAATGGGTTAAAGACTAAAGGGATTTAAAATCAAGCGTCAGTTTACTTTGACATAACATCTCGCCGTCCTCTAGTAATGAAAATAGCCATAAATTTCCATTGGCACAAGGCATCATCGCCGGATTGTTAGTAACAGATAGTTTGACTTAAAATGACCTCGTTATCTTCCTCATCATCACACCCTTTTCAATGCACTTCATTTGCACACACTTCACTGCAAAATCCATTTAACGAGAAGGGGATGTAGTCAATGTAAGGTTGCTGGTGTGTTTATGATGGTAAAGCAGTAGGACAGCGACGGTGGGATTTGACCTCGGGTCGATGTGATATTGACCTTTTTGATCGCTTCATCACTGTAGCTCTTTATTTACGAGCCACAGGCGTATTGCATTGCAGTCCGAGGGATTAAAGTCCATTTAATTATACCATTAAATCATAGTTGTCATTTACTCCTCTTACATTCTTCACATGAGCTGTTCCAATATTAAACTGAGTGAGTGAAGAGAGATCATGAAGGTTAAAGAAATCCATTTGGAATATTGAATAAAACAAGTATACCAAATGAGTGAATTGATGACATGGTAATCGAAATTGGCGTTCTGTTTTCATCCCTTTGGAAGTTTATCATCACAAAGGTTTTATCCAGAGTATTATTCAGGTAGAGATTTTACCGGTTTATACAACTCCAAAGATGACATGAAGTAATATTATTTCTGCAAGTGAAGGCACAATATGATCCATGCAACATACCAGAACCACTCAAACCACGAAACTAAAAAGTTGTTTTTCATTTTGTTGTGAATACGTTTCCACTAAACAAGGTCATTTGAGCAGGATTAGTTCTCGTCTTGACGAAAAAAAACGATTGAGAGAAAGGAACTATCCCATCAAAGACACAAGTATAAAGAATTCGTAAAAGTCGTTACTTTTTAAATAGAGAGAAATGGAGGATTTGAATCAATTTCAAATGGTGAATTCGTCGTGTATTGAGCAGGTGAAATGTGAAACGAAGAGCTAAGAGGCAATGGATATCTTTTTCGACCTGGTTGGGTCTCATCAGCAGTATGAATCCATCTACCTAACTGGGGACCGAACACGGGACTCCACAGGCAGGGTGCAGGCATGCTACCCGCTCGGCCACCGAGCAGCTGATAAGAGCGGTTTCATTTTCTATTTACACGATGTAGCACAACCCATCTTTGCGAGCTTGTTGCAGGCCAAACTACAGCTGTACAGTGCTTCCTAACTTCACTGTTCATATTTCATTTGCTCTGTATGCGACGAATTCCCCCTTTCAAATCTTCAAACTGTGTTTAGTCGCTGTGATACTCGTTATGTACGCCTCAAAAGCGATCACAGCAATACATCTTACCTAAATCTGTCCTTCAATTTTAAATCAAACAACTCTACGAACAAGTTAAAAAAAAACTATATTTAGACACGAAAATGACTTAAGTGAATAAACAACGAAGGCCTCCAAAATAAGTAAAACAAACAGACAAACGAATGCCTTGAAAAAGGTCAAAATGTCTTTACTAAAGCTGACTCATAATATAATAACTGTCGTATACAAAGAGGAAGCAAACGAAACAAGACAAATAGATTGAATCTATTTAAACTGATACTGAGACCTAAGTCAAAACACACTTAGAATAGTGCAAAACTGATGGCGATGTGAGTACTTTTTACACTAGTAAATTATCTTTTATTTTATTTTCTATTTTATGGCCTATACAACAATGCGGACTGGAAGAAATGATGAAAACTGGATGGTAGTGGCGAGATTCGAGCTAACGACCTCCGAGTTAATGCAATATTTAGCTGAAGCACTTGAACACCACGTCACACTTATACAGTACAAGGTTTTCCTCATAACACCTGTAACATAAACATTCTTTTGACAATCAAACAAAACCTACTCCTTGGATCTTCTAACCATCACAGAAACGAATGGATTCAACAGGGAAAGGAAATCAGTTGGATTTGATTATTGTTTTATTATTCGATTGCAAAACACGTTTGGAAACATGTTTCCGGGTAAAAGAACAGTTTTATTCTCGCATTGGAAATTTCCTGTGATGCAGATAATACATTTTTTACTGCCTCATTCAGCCCCTTTTAAATTTTTAAGCTCACATTACCGACTTATATCTGAATGGTGCGGTCATAGTTTGCTGATATCATACTGCTGCGGTTTTGAAAGCGCTTCGATTAAATGACCCTTAAATAGCTTGTCGATCATGCTCCTCTTACTGCGTGTGCGTCGAGAATGTAAAATGAATCCATGCGTCAAGTTTCATTTAACCCATAGAACCATAAAGGGGAATAAATTATTTCTTTGGACTTGAACACAAGTATTTAGGTCGAATTCTACTGCAGCGAAAAGAATGAAGAGTAGTTGTGAATGGCATTGGATGTCGCTTGTTTCTCCAAGTTGTTTGAACTTTCGTCTCAATATATGGTACCGTTGATGGGTAAGTTTTATGTAGTCCATTAAGTTGTGTCTAGAGCAAATTTCGTTTCCGGGCATTTCACTTTCGCGACTGAATTTAATAACGGGATAAATCGGGACGAAGGACACTGTCTACCAATTGTGTAAAGCCCCCAAAACTCCAAATTTAAACTCGTCTCCGCACCTACATTCACAAAAACAGTACCACTCTGTACCTCATCTGTCTCCAATTTACTCATAAAGTAATTATCACCTGCCCCATTCAACGACTCTTTTATTAGACTTTTCCTATAAGAAAATTTTAAATTGTTCATACTACCTATACTTATATATCTTCACTGTAAAGTTAGTGAACTGCTGAGATTTCACCTCTCAGTTGAACTATTATTTTCTAAGATTCAACTGAAAATACTATTATAAAAACGGAATGGTTCCTGAAAGTGTCCAAAATAAATTACATAAGGCAGACCTGGCTGGGAATGCTATCACACCCGGCTTCGGTAGGCCACCAGGGTTTCTCTGACTGCGATGGTATGAGCATTGCTGATCTGGCCTTGGTTCTTATTGAAACGGGATGATCTTTCGGCACAGTGTGATAAGTGCACAATACCGGATCATTATTATAAGTAGTATCGTCTTGGGCATACTGATGATTTCAGTATAAATAACAACATAGTGCTGAATGATTATTTTCAATGAATTATCATTAACAATTTATTGAGTATATTAATAAAAAGTTTAGGTGAAGTAAAAATAAGAAAGTTGAAGTGTAAGCTTTACTTTTGGAGGACAATTTTCTGAATAACAACCTCCGAGGAAAATAAAAGAGCTTAGTATAGGCAAGTTACTACACCTAAAAAAACTGTGGAACTTTTTTATCACACTTATCATCGGATTCTGTACGGCGCAACAATTAATGTATAAGAAGTTTTCTTACGGAACTAGATCGATTTTTTGGATCATATTCGCAAAGTGCTTGACATTAACCGCTACAACCAGACAACAATGATCAATCATATTCACTGATCCACATGTGTGATATCGTAATCAACCGATTTTGGCTTCACTACTTTCAGTGGCGAACAGAGGGCGAGTTAACGAGTTCGCAGTATTCTACTTGATTGTGCTGAGCGGAGATCACGAATATAGCAGACTCCTGAAATTTCAGAGTAAACTAAAAATTCAGCAGGTAAAAACATCTCATTAATTAGCAAAAAAGAGAATCACAACGAACCTTGTATGAATAAATGAACTGGAATAAAAATCAAAAGTAATCAAAAGTAATAAATCAATTAATTACCAGTAGTAGAAAACTTGAAAAGTGCTACCAATGAAATATCAAAGTTCCATACCGCAGATAAAGGACTAAGCAGTTCTGTGATATCGATCATAGTAGTACAGATTGGGGTCTCGAGAGTTCCTTTGTCAAATTCACTGTATCGGAATCTAAAAGACATATTGTTG